AGAGGGTGATGGCTTATAAAAAAAGGAAGAAACTGTAGCTATTCTTACTGATTCACCTTGCCTGTTTGCTTATATAAAAAATGTGCAATTCTACAATTGTGTTTGTAATACAGAAACCCTTATTTTCAAAAGGGATGGGTATGTGGCATGGCAGCATTTCAAGGGACTTCTTAAAGAAAATTCTGTTGTATTCCTCCTAAATCATCTACGGAGAGCTATGATGCTCCAGTCCTGAGCGCTGAGTAAATCCATTAAAAATAAATGCTCATCAAGCATCAGATTCATCTCTTTCTTTGTGGTGTTTTGTGCCACCAAAAACAGATTTTACATCAGCGCCTCTAATATGCTTTCATAAATAATCACTGGCCCTGAACTGCAGTTCAGCTGCATTCATTTACTAAGATGACTTAAAATTGCTTTAAACCATCTTCGAAACTACTGCTCCATTCAGTATCTTGGGGCTCAGTTGCCTTCAGAGAGCCAAACTAAAGCAAAAAATACTTCAAACACTCAAAAGCAAGAGATCGTAGTCTGTCAGTATATGTTCTAAAACACCCCCCTCTGGTGGCCTACTGGGAAAAATGGAAAAGAAATATTCTACTCAAAAGTCTTGTGATAATTTTCTTTTCTTGAGCAAACGTGAAGCATTACTTGCTTAAAGGTATTTCCAAAGATGTTTATGTTGAAATAGCATCAATTGGTTACAACAGATCAGCTGCAATCAATTAATGAGGACCACTGACCATCATTGGACATAACGGGAGCTTTATGTTTTTAATTATAGCTTTTCAGTCACTTCACCCAGCATCAATTCTTTTCAAATTTGTGACTATGATAATGCTATTTGGAAAGCCTTTCTCTCCTCTGCACTTGCAGAAAAAGAACAAGGAAAACAGTAAGTTGACATTAAACAGCTTGCTCTCTAACTAGCCATCGATCAAGCATGAAAGATTTCTCCAATAGTAATAATTAACATATTTAATAATTAATGTCATTAATAATTCTTGTGTCTGACTTTGAAGCTACGCTAAGTATGACATGTTTTCATCAAATTAACCCATTTTCAGTGACTATACGTTTTCCATCTACACAAGCATGGTCAAACCTGACCATCAAAAACTATAAGCAAATGTTCATTTTTATTGAGATTTTCCATCCTAATTACCTAATTTAGGATAAAAAGGTTTGATTTTGCAAGTAGCATCTACCTTTCAGAGTTCATTTCAGAGCTCAACCCACAGACTAAACAAACAGCGTGAATTAACTTTATTCCCTTAGATTATTCTTTATCCGTGTCTTTGATCGGAGTGATTATTTGTACAAGAGTGTTTGGACAGTGCAGTCAAACAGGACAGGCGGAGGGAGCAGGACAGCTTAATACTTGGAGCACCTTCAAAGCATTGTCCAACAACGAGCAAATATAAAGCAAGCCTACTGCACTTACATCATTTAACCCATAGACTTTGCAGTTATCAAAGCAATAATAAAAGCATGTCATGTTTACTGAAACAAGCAGAGAAGTTCGGTTGGAAGATTCTACACTTTTGATTGCCACATTTGCATTTGTATGTAGAATATTAATAAATATAAAGACATATTTTATTATGATTTGAGTATGATGGAAAGTTACTGTTGTGTGCAGAAAAAAAAGTCTTTATATTTTTGCCACCGTTTTAACAATGTTTGACACTGAAACAAATGGAAAACAGTCAGAAGTGATGATTCAAACCTGTCAATACAGAACGTAAATGTGATTCATTATGTAATGTTGTTATGTCTGTATAAGTACATAATAATCATGTAATTACATTATTATATTAAATTGTACAAAGTAATAACACTTGGTGACTGAAAGTAACTAATTCTTTAATCCTTTACATTATTTAAATAGTATCACAAAACAACTGTAACTAGACTTATGGTTAACATCTATTTGAAAAGAGTATATTAAAGCACATAAAACAAGCACAAGACGGAAAACCTTATTTATGGTGCATGAGTGGGAAAAAAACAGGCTCGAGGTGAGGAAAGAGGTGCCTGTGCTTTGACGAACGTTAGTTGGACATAGCACGGAGCGCAGCGATGATTAAAATGTGAGCATTACTGTTCCGACAGATGGAGGACTGAAAAGCGCAGACGTGTCGGAAGCGGAGTAGAGTGAGGGCTAATGCTGGCACTCCGCCCCCACTTTTCCAGCAAGTTCTCCAGGACCCCAGAGGCTGTGCCAAATGCCCCATCATTCCCGAGCAGACAGGGGTGGGCGTGCCAGCTCGCCAAATGTGGATCAGGGGTATCAGTTAACGTGCGGGTTGGGCTAACCTTTAACTGCTCTCGGCGCAGTTCAGGGGGCAGTGGGGCGCAAACTCCCCTTCGCAAACTGCAAAGCCTTGCGAAGGTTAAACTTGTGTTTCCTGTATAAAAACGGGAGGATGATCATGGCAACAAATTCAAAACTAGAGCCAATAATAGATTAACCCCTTAAAATCCCAGGCTCATGACATAATAAGGCTTATTATTCAATGACTACTCAGACTACAGTGCAAACTAGCCGAGTTATTCTTAGGTCGCCGGTGGGCCCTGGCCATTTGAGGGGTTAATGGAAGAGAGCATCTTATAAACTATATAAGAGGAAAACTCTTAAAATTGTGACTACATAACTTACATATTGGTTTCACGGTAGTTACTGCATAATTTTACAGTGATTAATGAATAATAAGTCTTAAAATTAATAATTACATGATAAGCATACAGTTTAAGGTGTTCCTTAAGGTGTTCCTCTTGCTTGTATGACTGACTGTATGACCAAAGACTGCTGTTATAATGCAGTACTGAAACTACACCACAATACAGACAATACAGTAATAAAATATGCAAAAAAAATGCTTTGTCTGCAACATTCAAATTAAGCACAATAAGTATGATGCTTGCAACCCAATGGAAAAGTTAACAAAATAAACAATGGCCTTAAAGTCTTAAATACAAATCTGTAATGCTGTACTGTAGTTGTATCATAATACAACCATATTTTATTGAAGTGATTCCAAACTTTTAAACTGTGATTCCAAACACTCAGAGCACATGCTGCCCAGAGGTAATACCCTAGTGTTAAAATAGACTCCACTAGAATGTTTCCATTACTCTGTTACTCATTTAACTCCATTTGACAGCGTCCACGTACTTTTAGGCGTGCATATGAATAAACTAGGGCCCTGTGGTTGGACGTGATGGATCTGATATGATATCATGAACGAACCGTGACCTGCTGTGCAGCGTTACATGGCTTTACACCAGCAGCAGCAGCGCAAGTCTCCACACACACAAACAGGGCTGCTGCTGCTGAGGGGGTGTGGAGGCTGCAAAACAACCCCGTCAGCACTTCCACTCGATCGCTGCTACGGCGAGCACTAAAACTAACCACGACGACCATTACTGATCACAGTCTATCAGCCACAGCGCGATTTATAATCGATTTGTTTAACCGATGCAATTCTCGACTCCAACGGCGAGCACAATGCACGCGTGCCCTTTCTGCACAATGCACGTCTATGTTTCATCCGACTTCGACAAAATTGCAAAAAAGCTTGCATATTAATAGGTTTTGGTGGGAGATTACATCTTTGCATTGTACTTTAAACCACTGCGCTGTATTTTAAGCCTTAAACACGACACGTTCGTCGAGTAACTCCACTGATGTTTATGTGCAAGTGAACGTGCACACGCTGGCCTACCAACCCAGCACTAGTGATGGGCGTTCGATTCAGTTTTTTGAAACGATTCTTTCGAGCTGTCGGATTGACTCGAAATTAGAAGATTAGGACGCCGAATGTAAATGAATTCAGAGAGGGTCTTAATGTTATTAAAGTGCTGTAGTGTATGATTATATAAGGTTTCGTTTTAAGACGGTGTGGAACCGTATTATCCTACATGGATGCGAACAAGTTCGATTCTGTTGGGCTTGTGAATCAGTTCGACCGTCGAACCGGTTCGAATGAATCGACTCACTCACGAGCCTTCACTACGGAGCACGCTTTAAACTCCGCGTGGCTTGTTTACCATCGGTCGCACGACCGAGCTGTCGGTTTAGCGGCTAGCATGCAGGCTAAAGTCTTTCTCTCTCGTTGGCCCTCTTAAGCTGTTTTGCCCATTTCTGCTATAGAACCGTTTTAAATTCGTTGTACGACCATCGCAGCTCGGTACAATTATCCTGGCAGTTTTAAAAACATTACTGGCGGAATCCCTTGAGCTGAAAGACAAACACTAAAAACGAGACACTGGCGTGTACGAGCACTTACCTGACATTTCGAATACGCAGCTTAGCAATTACAACGAAAAAGGTAACAGATCAAGTTGAGGAATTGAAGCATCAACGACAAAATCAGCAGGGTTGTTTAGACTGAGTTTGTTCATTGTTAATTTTCCCATTAAAAATGAACATTACTGAGGTATTTCTTGTGCTAATATGAGAGACAGGATCCGCACAGCTGAACGCCAAACTAGCCAGTTAGCCAGACACTCAGAGAAATAAGACAATAACTTGAGGACACCTCAAATATGTGACAATTTTTAGAGGTGGACAAAAGCAACAGAATCAGGAGGGTCACCATTAACATTACTGACGGAATGGTGCCTTTTTGTTGTGTGAAATGAAACGGGGGCAGTGGGACGAGGCTGAAGTTGGCTTCCTATTCGACAGTTTCTTGTTCAAAATTTCCCGTTCCACCTTAAATGGTGCAGCAGTTACAATCTGACGCCTGAGGCAGAACGTAACTGCAGCACCATTTAAGGTGGAACGGGATAATTCGAACAAGAACCTGGCGAATAGGAAGCCGACTTCAGCGTCGTGGCAGTGGGGGGACTCGCCACAGTTGCAGGCTAAACTGAACAGCTAACAGTTAACTTGGCTAATTAAAGAGGTGGCTAGCTGGCCATGCAAACCACCACATACTGGCTAACGTTCGCGGCCGCGCTGGAGCTGACCAGCTAAAGCTGAGGGCTCTTACCAGATAGAGCTCTTTATTTTGAGCTGCAGAGCGCTCGCCTCTGTCCCTTGCAGTCCCGCTGGAGCGAGAGAGGGCAGCGAGCCCGTCCCGGAGCCTGGCTGCGGGTGCTGACCAGGTTGTTGATCATCAGCCATCATCACGGTGCGAGTCGGTAGGGGGGAGAAGGCGGAGGAGGGTGAGGAGGGGGAGATCTAACAAGTAGGCCTCGACCCGAACCTCGCGAACGCAGGGATCCCCTCGGTATGACACATTACGCTCCTTCTTCCCCGATAAACTGGCACGCTCGGTCAGAAAGAACTTGAGCTGCTGCGAAAACGAGACGGCGCCAGTTCATGGTTTCTCTGCGAAGCTCCGGCTCACCATCCCAGCATGGCTAATAAAAACAAAACAAACACACATGCACATACACACACGCTGAGTGCAACGGAGACGTGCTGCTGCTCCAGAGGCGACCTGCCCCGCTCCACTCTCTGTACGCTCAACCACCGGGACTGCTGCCGCCGGGCAGAGGCTGCGCATGCGCGCTGAGGATCAGCGGAGAAAAACAAGACGCACGATTCAAACGCTGTCATCACGAGCTGTAGTAGTATGGAAGCCTGATTCCGCCATTGGAAAAAAATATATATAGCCATTTCATAAGTTAGAATAATGAACAAGTTTTCCAAAATTGTGACTTAGTATCTCATAATTACGACTTAGTAGCTCGTAATAATGACTTAGTGTTCTATAATAATTAGATTTTTTTTCAGATTATAAGATTGTTTATGAGATACTAATTCATAATTGTGAGATGCTAAGTCATACTTATGACATAGTAATTCATTATTGTAAGATGTTAAGCCATTCTTATGAGATATTAAGTCATAATCATGAGATGCTATGTTTTTATATTTCTTAGAACGTCTCCAAAGTTGAGTTAACCTACCCCACCACAAACTTCACATAGGCACATATTTATCATAAAGGATTAGGCATATATATATATATATATATATATATATATATATATATATATATATATATATATATATATATTTATATAACACATATATAACACATATATAACACGTATATATACATACACATATGTCTGATAGGTGGGTGAACACATATGTATAATATATGGATCACATTTATGCTGTCTGTCTGATATATGTCTGACACATGTGTCTGATACATGGGTCATACATATATGTGTAATGCAAACGCCAAAAGACTTTTAAATAAGAAAAAATCTAAATGAAGTACAACAGCAACATACAATAAAAAACCTTATATCAAATAAAGCTAGCATATATGAGTAATATATGTCATCCATATATGAATAATGTTTTCTATCACATATTATTAAACATATGTTACACACATACATATGTTTGTGTATGTTGATATATGGCTGAAATATATGTTTCATATTTGAAAATGGCCAGTTTCAAAGAAGTTGGCATATATGTCACATGTATGTCCATATGTGACTAACAGAAGTTGGATATCGTGGAAATCCACGTCTGCTAATATATCAAATTTCCGAATGGACTTGTCAAACAAGACGTGGAAGTCATGCTGGTTGAAGAAAATAAATAAAAGAAACTTTTTGTAATTAACAGCCAGATGGATAAATTATTTTTTAAAAAGTAAGACTGTGTTGTATTTATATTTACATGTTCTCATATTAGCAGTTAAAGGAGTGCATATTAATGAGATCATTCAACTAGAGAGAAAGAAAACTAAAAGCTGTTGCTATGCAACGGCGTCATCCCTCTAAGAGAAACATGGCTGACAGACCCACATCAGCGCCTCAGCGGGTGAGTTACACGACCAAACTCTCTGATTTTGTGCTGCTGTTACAGTCTCTACTGATATTTATACCTGACGACTTGGAAAACCTCGCAAATAGACTTCCTTCGAACAGATCTTTTGTTATTTTGCGCTTGGTCCTAGTTAAGCACATCTGCCAGGTAGCTTAACTAACTTCACGTCACCTAAGCTAACGTTAGCTTTGGTTAGGGCTTCTGGCTAGCAGGCCTAAACTTGCCTCACAATCAGTAAACCTTAGAGGGATAATTCCACTGATTTTTTTTATGTGCATAATTTAATCGCTGAGATGTAAACAAAGTGAATCAGAGTAGTTTGGTGTGAAATGGTGCGTTGTAGAGAAACTCTACAATGTAGAGATTTTCTTCACAGTGGTCATGATATGAACCAGGGGTCGCGATGTAACACACAAATGTAGCTAGCTAGCCATTTTATTTACTACCCAACGACCAGTGAACCTACACGTGTTCTCTGAGCTTTTATTTGTCAAGTTGAAAATTGGTAGAGGTAACTCTTAAAAACGTGTTTTTTTTCTTTGGGTACTGTTTTGCTTTACAACGCCGTACATTTGCCTGTAAAATGCATTTTAGGCCAAAAGCTTATTTAAAACTGTCAAAAAACATTGTTTCAGGCATCAGACAACGTGTTTGTAACAGTTTCATGTAATGACTGCTGAGGCACTTTCAGAAGCTTCGAACTCGTCAGACGTCTGGTTCCTATCACCACCACTGTGAACTGTTCTGACTCAGCAAGTTTCATTAGAATGGCACGTTTCACATCAAACCTGAATAACTTCACAGCTTAATGATTTAAATATGTATACATTTTGAGGAAAAAAATAAATATACTTTACAAGGCTGTTTTATATGAGATGTTACAACTGATAATAAACTTATATTGCAAGAAAATCACAAGTTTGCCATTTTTTCATGACAAAAAAAATGTAAAACATAACGAATTGTCAGACACTCCTAGCATGTTTTGGTTAGCGGTATTCTGCTAATGCTGTGGCCAACAGTGTAATAGACTGTAACGTGGAAGCATTCTCTCACAAACAGCCCAAAAAGCTCCAGTCAGCTTGCTCTCAGAAGCCTCCAATGTCCAGACTTGTGAACCGACCTGCTTCCGCTCCACAAAAGAAACCGCCTTCAATGGACCTGCTGGCTAAAGAAGAAGAATACAAGTATGTGTTATGAGTGACAGCTGTTATTATGTTATCATTACAATATATAGAGCAATCAATTATAATAGTAAGTGAGTAATTCACATATTATTCTTTTAGTCATTTTTTGAAAAAAGGCCAGACAGTAAAAATGGAATAACCAGACAATAACAAACCACACAGAGCCTTTCAAGAATTCCAATAAACTAGGATGCCTAAAGGCTAAAAGTCATACATATGGCAAAAATGCATAAGCAAAATGGCTATTGGGGTCTCAGCCTGTCTATACTGTGTCATTGTAGACGGCTAAATGCAGAACTGGAGGCGAAAACAGCTGATCTGGTGCGGCAGGCAGAGGAAGTTATGGTAAGATAAAATCTTTACGTAGTGGATTTAAAGACCACTTTCTATGCACATGGCTAGGTATCGAGGTATTGTGTGCGACATGCATAATTTTTCCCTTTGCAGAGGGAACAAAATGAAGTACTCTCCAAGCCCATCTCTACCCACCTGAGCCTCAGCATTTCAGAAGATTATGAGGATTTAGGGTAAGGGGGTCAAAATGCTTAAAAAATAGCTTAGTCATACATTTTCAAGTTGTTCATAGTTGCATTTAAACTGATTCTGGTGTGTCTATTAACAGAGATGCCATGTCCTCAGTGAAGCAACCTACGGCAAAGGTACACATAAAATACATACGGCATTTTGGTCACTGTAGCATTACCCGAAAGATTTACATTTCATAATGCCTTTATTTCTACTTCACACTGTAGGTAGTCACAGAGAAAAAGTCTTTGAAACCTGGAAGGCCAAACAGACCTCCTTCAGGCCACAAAAAGACTGCACAGTGAGTTCAGAAAGTTTTGCTTGAGCACTTCATACAGTATCCAAGTTCTGAAACCATGCCAGAGTTTTATTCTGTAAACTAATTAAAGGGGAATTACAGTGAGTTTTCAAAATTTCTCCATAAATAAATCATTCAGATGTAAACAAAGCCGTTCAGAGCGGTTGGATGTGAAATGCACTGTGCTAGAGAAACTGAGTCGGAATTGTTCACAATTATGGTTATAGGAACCAGACGTCTGAAGGGTTTAATGCCCCTAAAAGCTACCGCATGGAAAACATGAAATAATTATAAATACATTGCCTGAGACATTGTTTTGCGATAGTTTTGAGTTTTGGCATAAAACATATTTTAAAAAATATTTTCATGGTGAAGAGGAACATGCAAGGTGTTGTAAGATAAAATAGTACAAAAAGAAACCTTATTTTTTCAGGGTTATCATTATTTTATCATCATCAACAGTACATATAAAAACTTTGAAGACATATGGTAGGTTCACTAATTGTTTTGGATAGTGAATAATATGGCTATATTTGTGTTGTAGACATTGTAATTGCTGGTTCCTCTCATGACTGACTATAAAGAAAGAGTCAGTTTCTTTACAATGCCCCATTTCACGTCATACCACTCTGAATGACTGTTTACAGCTCAATCGTTGATTCAGGCAGAACTTTGAAAAAAAATGTTGGAATTTCCCTTTAATACCCTAAGTTACCATGTTTTGCATTAGAAAAATGAAACCTGCTGTGGTCGATGATGTAGCGGTACCTGAAGATTTTGGGGACTTCTCTCTGGCCAAAACAATAAGCAACATTGAGGGCAGAGTGAGTGACGATGTAACAGACGAAAATCTGGAGGATGACATCATGCCAAGTGTTGGGGAGGAGATGAGTGCAGGTGGGCTTAAATTCTTGCACATATTCCGTAAACTGCGCTCAAGAGTTCTAACATGAAAAGCATTGTATTTTCTATTCATCATAATTTTGTCAGCTATAAGTGTTATTTGTTAGTGATATACGTGTCAAACGTGCGCAGTTTTCCCCTGGTTGATCAGCCAAGACATGTTTGTTTTCTTTAATTGTTTCTTTAGTTTTGCTCTGGAGTTGAATGAGGCTAATGTAGCTGACAGGTATATTCCACATCAATTAACACTGTATTAACTACAGGCCAAAATCATCAAGCACCTGATTCAAACCACAATAAATTATGAATGTATCTCAAATAGACTTGCTTATGTGGTTCTAAGGTAACAGCATGTCATAGAGTGTAGGTGTTATTACAGGTGTTCCTAATAAAGTGCTTGGTGAGTTGGTTGTGCCCTCAAATATCCATAGAAAAGTGTTGCCAATAGAATGAATTGCTCTGGAGCTGCTGAACATGAGTCTAAGATCACTATGCCCAATGCCAAGCTTCAACTATAGTGGTATAAAGCCCCTCAATGTTGCACTTTAGAGCAGTGGTACTGTGTTCCCTGGTGTGGTGAAGGACCATCCAATATCTTCAGATGATTGGAGTGGCATTTGTGGAATTAAGCATTCAACATCAGTATCTGAAAAATAGAGTCTGTTACTGGAGCAAAGGGGGAAAAATACCCTATTAATACACTTTATTTAAGTCCTACAGTTTGCAGACACCTGCTCATCCGACATCTCTTCTGAAATCAAGGGTGTAAGATAAGATAATCCTTTATTAGACCCACAGCTGTGAATTTCCCTGTTGTGGGACTAATAAAGGATTATCTTATCTTATCTTATCTTATCTTATCTTATCCCTTTGATTTCAGAAGAAACATCAGATGAACAAGTCGACAAACTGTAGGACTTAAATATAGAGCAGCTACATTAGTCTACTAGATAGAGAAACAACACTACACTTCAGCTACACTTGGGATAACATCTACTTGTCGTAATTTAATTACTATAAAGGATTTATAAAAGTGAGTACTGCAGATGGGATTCACATATCATATACAAGATCATTCTTTCCTGGACATGTTAAATGTGTATTAGCATAGTCAGCATTACTTAACAGGCCAATAAGTTTACTCCCTTTGATTCTGTCTTCCAGAGGCTCAGATTCGCTTCTTGAAAGCTAAACTTCGAGTGATGCAAGAGGAGTTAAACAGGCTTTCAAATGAATGCAACAAGAGGGTAAGTGGCTACTCTTTTACACCAGAAAGTATTTAGCTTGTGAATGGGATGCAATATAGTTGCAGTTTTTGTTTTTTTCTGTAAGGACGATGAGAATGGAGTGTTAAGCAGTAAGCTGAAGGAGGTGGAGGAGGACCGGGCCAGACTGCAGAGAACCACCAGCATGCAGCAGACTCAGTTAGAGAAGCACAGAGCACTGGCTGAAGAGGCCAACAAAAATTGTGACGGCCTGCGGCAGCAAGTGACCACATTGCAGAAGGTGGGGCAGGCAGACATTATTGTATTTGCAAAATGGGAAAGAAAACTATTTTTCCCAGTTTAGTGCTCACAAGTCAAACGTTTTAACGTTTATCTTGCCATACTATTCAAATATAATTACACCATTACATAATTAGTCAGGGAATTACTTTGACATTCAATTTAATTCTGTATCGACAAGGTTTGACTCTGCATTTCTGACTTTTTTTATTTATATCAGTATCAAGAAATGGCAAAAAAGTGGACAAAATATAAAGGAAAACAATACTAAATGTATAACAATAACTTTTAATCAAATTCAAACCAAAATGAAATATCTCCTCTTTTATTTAGAAACATAAAGGAGATATTAGTTGAAAGTTTAGAATATGCACTTTAAGAGAATTTCTCTGCTTGTGTCTTTGAGCTATTGGGAAGAAAGAATAAATTAATATTAAATTACACCATGCTTTTTTAACACCATCAATAACTGTGACTAAGTGTTAACATGGTACGGTAACTGGACTTTGTCCTACTTAGCTCAACGTGCTGTCCATTGCTGGTAATAAAATGAACTCTGGTGCTTATAAGAACTTTATAATCTTATGATTCATGGGCACAGGGGAATTAAATAACTGAGCCTGTGTGTGAACTTTATAGTCGGTCATGTTGTACATCAATCTGTTGACCACAGCTCTTTTTCATTAAACTGTTGACTACCTGGCCACAGGGCAGGTTATATCTCACTCTTAACTGAGAGCAGCATGTCTCAGACTGCTTCCCACACCAAAGACGCTGTTAATGAGTGGGCCAGGGCAAAGGAATGCCTGGCATGGGCCCTTTGACACGATTAGCCCTGCATATGTAAAGTGAAGCCATCCTGCAGTTGGCGAGTAGGAGGAACGGGTGCACATATAGGTTTGGAAAGCTGGGCCCCAGACTGTGATGTATGTACATAAAGGCGAACGGAAATAAGTTCTCACACTGGTAATAATGTGTAAAATGATACGTTCACACATTACACATAACCTTCATTGACTGACAGAGCATAACTGAGGCGCATCAGACACCGACCTTTTTAAGTTGCACTTTAAGACTAATAGTGCAATAAGCTTCATATTCATACCTGTTTGTTTTTTTTGAACCAAGCAGCAAACTTGGTTTCTGCCAACCGAGGAGGCCTTAAAGGGACCGTATCATGGAAAAACAAACTTTTTTTTAAATAAAAAAAGTTTGATGTTGTACATAAACATTATTATGTATCAAAACATACCGTTCACTTTTCAGTCCATATATCGAAGGAAAAACATACTTTACTTTTAATGTAAGTCAATGTAATGTAATGTAACCAGACTTTTTTCCATGTCATTTTGGGCCATTTCTTTTGGTCCACTCATCAAATCTACACACGATGTGAAGGACAACAGGCATTTTCAAATTATGGCAAAAACTGAAAAACAACAAAAATGGAGTTACCATATTTTGTTCTGACAGCAGCGATATGGAAACTAAGCTGCAAGAACAGCCTGTTCTGAATGTCGCAAAAAAATGTATTAACGTAAATCCTTCTATTCAGCCTACAGCAGTTCAGGACAATACAGGACAGCCAGTCAGAACAGAGATCATTTACATATATCAGTCTTAAGGGCAACAGTAACAAAAACAGTGTTCAGTTCCAAGGGATGAAGGGAGGTTGGAAAATGGTCATGTAAAAATGAATTACGGATTTTTGGGTACATAAAACCATACAAACAATAAAAAAATAAAATTTAACAAAGAAGTACAGCATTGACCCTATAAAGGCATATTTTAAGACATTTAAACAAAACACATTCTCCTAGTCATTTTTGAGCGCTTTTCCAACTTTAATGTGGAGGTATGCTTCCACTAATCATACATTCATAATGACACTGTTTTATCTCTGTGTGGAACCTGCAGGAGCTGGAGGGCATGAAGAGGGCGCAGAAGCAGGCGGCCAGTGCCCACAGCGCTACTGAAGTGAGGCTGAACAGGGCTCTGGAGGAGGCGGAGAGGAGCAAGGCTCAACTTAGCAAGCTGAAACAGAGCAGTAAGGTATTGTGCAGCACAAACCACATGAGATTCATTTACTCATGTTTATTATTTAGTTTATTTTGTAATTTTAATTATTAAGTAACTACTTTGAAAATGATAAATGATTTAGCTCGTCACTAAAGTGTTAAACCCTATTTTACTGTTAATCTAAATTAGTGCACACCATCCATAGCATTAAGAGCATTTGGTCTTGTTCTGTTTATTTTGTTAGGTAAGTAGAATCATCATGCTATCTTGTAAGTATGTTTATTATTCATTTCATTGTATTTTGGTTTCATTGATTCAATATGATTTTCCTATAAAGGACTCTGCAAACCAGGAGCAGCAGAGAATTGAAGCATTGCAAGCTGAGAACAAAAAGCTGGAGAAACAGAAGGCTGAACTTATCATGGGCTTTAAGAAGCAACTTAAACTAATCGATATTTTGAAAAGGCAAAAGGTGAGTTTTCTTTAAAAAAGATTTTCTTACCAAACCGTGACTGAACCAGTGTCCACTTTAATTTATTAATTGAATCCCTGATTCTTAACAGATGCACTTTGAAGCAGCCAAGATGTTGTCCTTTACAGAAGAGGAGTTTATGAAAGCACTGGACTGGGGCAAACCATAAACATATTCAAAAGAACAAGGTTCATACATTTCGGATAAATTAGTCAAATAATATAATTGGTTTAATTGTCAAGAACTCAGGAAACAGTTTTTCATTGTTGTATCAATGCTCAAATAACTGCACTCTATATGCTTGTAATTAGCCAAATTAGCATATTTAAAAAAAACCTATGGTTTCTTCTTTTTTATTGGTTTTATTTTTAATTTTGAAATTGTATACAATTACAAGAAATGGTTGGTCATGAGTGGCCCTGTCAACTATTACTTTACTGCACTCTAGAGGATACATTTGGGCACTGTACCCTCAAGTTTTTTCATTCTTCTAAAACTGTTTGTTTGTAAAAACTTTTATTTCATTTACACAAAATTCAAGACAACATGGTCAGTGTTACACAGAACTATGTAAATAGAGTAAACACAGAAATCCATATGCCGTGGTTCTTCAGTAGTCCACAGGAGGTAGGGTGACCATTTTGGTGAACTCCTCATAGTGAATGAGGCCATCAGGGCCAACATTAGCCTCCTTAAACAACTCATCCACTGTAGACAACAGAAAAAAAATTTGTAAGGATTTAATCTGTAAATTTTCAGCTCTGTTTGTGAACTACACATTATATTTTATCTATGCAGTGTACGAGTCACAGGGTAAACGGTGATCTGTTTGGAACGTGCAGCAAAAGGGCATTTCCATGTATACTTGCAGTTTCAAGTTTTTATTTCATAAAATTATCTGACGTCTTTTTTCTGTTGAAGAAGTAAGTACACCCCTGACTTCAGTAACTGGTATTGCCCTCTTAAACAGAAACAACTTTATGTTTTTCTTATAACTGGGAAAAATTTTTGTCTGCTCCTTTATGCAGAATTATTTCAACTGCAGTGTTTGAGGGGTTCCTTGCTTGTGCAGCCCATTTCAAATCCCCCCTCAGCATTTCATTGGGATTCAGATATGGACTTTGACTAAGCCATTTCATAACCCTCCATTTCTTCCTTTTGAGCCATTCATTGATGTATTTACTTGTATGTTTGGGATCTTTATCCTGTTTCAAGGTCCACTTCCTCAGCTATATCTTTTTTTTACAGATGGTCTCACATTCTCTTAAAGCACTCTCTGGTATGAAAGAGAATTCATAGCTGATTCCATGATTGCACGCTGGCCAGGCCCTGAGGCAGCAAAGCAGCCCCAGACCATAACATTTTCATGACCATGCTTTACAGTTGGTGTGAGGCTGTTGTGAACAAATGCAGTCTCTGGTTTTCACCAAACACAGGTTTTGGTACTGTGGTCAAACAACTGTATCTTTGACTCGTCTGTCCATAGCACATTTTGACATCCACAGAAGCAAGAGCTACTTGCAGATCATGTAATGAAGTTTTGGGGTTCTTAAAGACTTCTTTTAGCATCTTATAGTCTGCTCTTGGGTTGAATTTGCTGGGTTGGCCTAGCCCGGACATGGTGGCAGTAGTTTTAAATATTTTCTACTGTAGATGATCTTATGGACAGTGGAAGGACTGATTTCTAATATTTTGGAAACACTCCAATAGCAAAGAGCAAACCAAAACACATATCTGAGGTTTAAATAAGACAGATTTCTCCAAGATATTCTCTTATGGCATTGTAATCATTAGCACCTGATTGGGTGCACCTGATTTCAATTTTACACATTTGAAGAAGTGATATATATATATATAGGGGTGTACTTACTTTTTCCACATAAGAAACTGCATTTCTGTTTATTTCAGTTAAATAAATGGTGACAAAAGTTTCAATTTTAGGTGTCACTTGTTAAATGATATCACCTTTATCTATCAACAAGATAAATCAAGACCAGAAATCTGTATGTCCAAAAATGCTAAAAAAGTCTAAACTTTTCATGGGGTGTACTTATTTCTTCGTGACTGTATCCGGGGGAGAGAGCTGCCACTACCCTTCCACAGGCATCCCTACTTTTTCCTAACAAATATGAATCAAAATTCCTCTCAACAGGGCTACATGCTCACAGTGGGGACTCCTCTGAAGAAAAGCAATGAACGAACTGAGCGTTAGGGATGGACAGTACAACTCATTTTTTTTTTATTTAATATCAAGTAATACTGAGGCTAGTATCCCACTACCAATTATAATATTTTTAAAAGTGTTCCTGTGCAAAAGTGGGATATGTGTGGTTTTTAAAGTGAAAATTGGTAACATTGACGTAACACGGATGCTTGTTCATGATACTGGGTCCACAATTCAGTATTATCACAAGATTTTTAACTAAATGAAGAAAAACGATAACTAAAATCATATTCCACATCTCACTAACAACACTAGAGCTGGGAGGCAGGAGGAAGTATTGATTGTTGCTGACTGTTTGCAAACTTATAATTATATAATTAATAGTCTACTCTTCATGATGCATTGTCACATTTCCAGGATGCATTACATCACAATTTTACCTTCCATTACATTACAATATCACAACGTCAAAAGGAAGCTGTCGTATCTTTCAATACGCCCATCCTGACTGAGAACTGAAAGAAAATACATCATGCTAAGATTCACCGTTTTGCGCTGTGCTGTGCTTCTCAAGAACCTGCAAAATGAACCCCAAAACCAATATTTGAAACTAAACACCTGCCAGTCTGTACCTTCTTTATCAGTGAGTTTCTCTCCCAGGCCTGTGAGTTTTGCTCGTAGCTCTGAAGCCAGGATGTAGCCCTTCTTCTGCTTGTCCGTCATGCGCATGGCCTCCAGGATCTCTGTCTTGGGGTCTTCCTGCTGCATCTGCCTGTGCATCATTGTCAGAAAGGTGGAAAAGTCCAACTCACCGGTTTTATCTGAGGCAAGACACACACAAAGTTATAAACATGACAAGAACAGGATGAAACAGGGTATTGCTGAATCAGAGAAAGTTCCCAATGTATGTTGTTATTTCATATGACATGTAGTGCATTCACAGAGCCAGGCCATTTGTCTAGGACAGTGGTCATCAACCCCCATCCTGGAGATCTACTTTGCTGAAGAGTTTAGCTCCAGCTTGCATCTAAAGTGTCCATCCCCATCCTCCTCACCTAACACTAATGCATGTGATTGTTCTGAAGAAGTTAATTAACTGGAGCAGGTGTGACAGATTGTGGTTGGAACAAGACTCTGCAGGAAGGTAGGTCCAGGATCTAGGTTGGTGACCACTGGTCTAGGTTAGCAGCATCATTGTGTGATATTGTGTGATAAGGATCTGTATTCAGAAAAACTCTTGAGTTTGTTTTGTACCAGTCTGGCTTTAGATAGATAGATAGACAGATCACTTTATTAATCCCAGAGGGACATTCTTCTATTGCAGCAGTACAAAGCACAGTAAAGAACGAACGAGAGCAAAATGAACAGGAGCAAAGTATTGCCGTACACTATTTATAGATATATAAAAAAAATTGAGATAAATAATAGAATAAAATCTAATAAACAATAAGAGTAATGTGTGAATGCATAAACAAAGTGGCAGTGCAATATGCAATATTAGTGGACAAATAAACAAAACAAAGAAAGTGGTAGTGCAGTATTAGATATGATAAACAAAATAAACCAAGTAGCAGTGTAATATGAGTGGCTGAGTGTACAATAATGTCCCGGCACAGTGACGAGGTGTTGTACAGTGCGAACGCTGTTGGTCCTGTACCATTCTTTGCTACAGCGGAGCTGAATGAGTCTGTTGCTGAAGGTGCTCCGCTGTCTGACCACTAGGTCACTAGGTGTGATGTATTGTTCAGTACACCTGTTAGTTATTATGGCAAATAGAGGTGGCCAACAGTACAATGCTATTGTTATTAAGAGGAATTACGTCACAATATACTTTTATTTATGAGTTTATCATAGGTCATTTTATAGCACTGATCAGCTGCATGTATCATATAAAAGACAGATTTAGACCAATTATTAGTCTGTAAACAAAAAAAAAAAAAAAAAAACAGCATCTAGTAACAGTATAAACTTCATAATAACAAAAAGCCCGATTGGGCAGTAGCCCAATTATGAAATTATCTTATTCAATTTTTGACCACTTCTTTCCTGTTCTGAGTTAAGTTTTAATTTCAAAACATTGAGTTAAAATAGTCTTAGCTTTCCTAAATCAGGCACTAATGTTTTGCCCATGCATTCGTAATGGCAATAAGAAAATGGCCAGACTAAAACTGAGATAATTTGTCTGAAATGATTCACTACTAATATTTTATAAAGATTAAAGAAAACTGGAGATGGTGTTTACTGTTACACAGTTTTATATGGCCACCGTGAAATTACTAATGAATTCTGCTCTGTATTTTATGGTCCTTAATCGACTAATCAACACTCAATTATGTGTGGAAAGACAGACTGGTATTTGATATGTGGTACTGCAGTTACATCACAAACACTGCACCATACCTATCTTATGGACTTGCAAGTGTCGATCCACCTCACTGTAGGTGGGACAGGTGCCTAAAGAGCGCATGACCATAATCAGGTCTTTAGCTTCAATCTTCCCCTTCCGCTTCTTATCATACAAGGAGAAACATTCTTTAAATTCTATAAAGAGAAAGAACAATATAGCATTACTGTATACAAGTTACCATATAGATGTGTTTTGGTACATTGCAAAACAGTGGAGGGTACAGTAGACTGAAATAAGTTCAAGTACAAGCAAACAAACAACTTGAGTTAAAAAGTCCAGAAACTCATTCACTATAGAACTACAGTGGAACTTAAGTTACATCCAGTATTTATTAGCATATGAACTGAATTTATTAGGCTATAGTCTTCTTTTTTGGGGATTCTTTTGGTCTAAAATAAAATGTTAAAGTTCAAAACTTAAGAGGTGTGAACAGTCCAGGTGTTGAACCAAGAGGGTAGAATAAACGCAAAGAGGAATCAGGAACTAAATAAGAATGGTTAAAGTATAACTGAGGAAACAGTAGATTACTTTCCTTACTTCAGTACAAGAATTTACTACCTCTCAAGCAGAATGAACTTTCAGCTCAATCACTAGGGACGCCCAGTAGTCAGATACGTATACAGTTTCTTTACTAAAGTGACCTTTTCATAGTTTACTGAAGTCATTTACAGTTTTCCATTGATAATACAAAACAATACGTACTTGAACATACATGCAAATCATATTAGAAATATCACTGTAGGCCTAATGGTCACTGTGACTAAAGCAACTTAAAACAACTTACCATTAATTTGAGTCTGGGACAGAAACTTCGCCTATATGAAGATTGGAAAAATGCAGGCATGTCAGTAACCATGACTATTTAAAAATGTGTATTAATAAAAATCGAATGGCACTCACCATTGCTGGACATGCGTTTCACCTGTGCACAGGTGGCTTCCAGTAATGTCCGTCCCTCAGGGCTGCTGGCATGATCTAAAGTCCACCATGCTGATGACGTAACTGATAGCCTTGTTGCCAGAGCAACAGTGTTATATGATACCACCTATCATATTGAGCTCTCTTCATCCCGACAACAGCAGGTACTCACGAAAGGAACTAAAAGGTAATTCTAGGACTAAAATATTGTCAACTTGCTGCAAAGTTGATTTTGCTCTCTGGCTACTTTATCTGTACAATACCAATCACTTTTCATACCAACAAGTATTTCATATTCAATAATAAATTACAGTGTGGATTTATACATAATAAAGTAATGCTAAAAGGCATTTTAGATGTTTTGTTCAATTTTCCTGATATTACAGCAACAAAAAGTTAAATGCACCAAGACATTAGAAGCAGATCTATATAGTTGTAAGGTGGAATTACTGCCAGTGTCATCAAGGAATACCACTGCCATAAAGGGGTGAGCCTGGTCTGCAATGATATTTAGATAGGTGGTATATGTCAAATTAATGTCCACATGAACACCTGAACCCAGGGTTTCCCAAGAGAACACTGCCCAGAGCATCACACTCCCTCCTCTGGCTTGTCTTCTTCCCACAGTGCAACCCGGTGCCATCGCCTCCCCAGGTAGGCGGCGCACACGTACCCTGCCGTCCACATGATGTAAAAGCAAACAGGACTCATTGGACTAGATTCTTATACAATGCTCACGTGCCCATTGTAGGCACTTTCAAAGGTGGACAGGGCCTAGCATGAGCAGCCTGAGGGGTCTGCAGCTACGCAGCCCCATACACAGGGTATAATGTGCTGTGTGGTGACACATTCCTCCCTTAACTACTATAAAAAAAAATGCGACTTGTTCACACAGTAGCCCTTCTGAATGTTTTGGATAGGACAGTATAGCCTTTGCCCTTGCACACAGATGAGCCCTGTCACCGGTTCATGGTTTGTCCCTCCTCAGACCACCATCACCACTGCCGACCCGGAGCACCCCACAAGCCTTGTGGGCTCAGAGATGCTCCAAACAAGATTTTGTTGCACTTTTTCCTTTTTACAAACCACCAGGCCAGTTGTGATTTCACACATTCACAAATATCCACCATTAATAACAAAATGACTACTTTTCGCTAGGCCCGAGCGATATCTAAACATACATAGCACAGCATTTTCATGTTAAAGACATACAGTCTGATGCATTATGCTATATTCATGCTTTTTAACCATTAACTAAATTAAATTTTGAAATCTTTCAAATTACATATTAAATAGTACAGGTAAGACAACACTTGGAAGTATTTTACCTCGTTTTAAAAGTTGTGAATTCATAAACTCCTGCTGGTGTGGGTTCTTGACTGTTTCTTCTTTTTAAAAGACAGATACAAAAGTGAGTTGCCTTTTGTTTTGACCACAACATTCATTGACTCGTTGGCCCAAGTCTGGCTTGATTTCTTTAATCATGTATGTATGTAGAGTTCCCTAGCATGCTTTCTTTCTTTTGGAACTGAAACACATGACAAAGTTAGAACGTGTATCTACCAATACAGTTTTAAATAGCAGCAATTAATGGTTTCAACGCAATCTTAAGATTTTTATTTGACGATTACCAAAAAACATTTATTTATACAAAACATTACAACCATTTCTCCATATATTTAGTCCTAGTTTTCCAGTCATGCCTTAAATTTTCCAGTCAAAACCTTTTTATGAAAAGACTAGGCCTAACCTACATCTGGAATCTGGATCACATGTACATGAACAGAAACAAATGATATGGGCTGAATGTGATTCAGCACACATGCTTGCTCATATTTATCAAAATATTTCAGAAAAACTGTTCCTAGACTAACAATCTCAGTTATAAATGTTCCAAAAATAAGAGCAGCATATTAAAAAAAATACAGTTACAGTACAGTGCACGTTTTCCAACAGTACATAACACATTGCAAAAAACTGACAGAACAGTGAATGTACAACACTACTGAGGGGGAAAAATTGGGACCCAACTGACATGAAAATACTGTGGTTGATACTGATGCTGTTTTTAAGGGACTAAAAATTCCAGTAACAAATAATAGTGTCTGATATAATATTATAATATATACATCATATATTTTAGATTTTAATTTTATTCTCCAATACTTTTATTCAAACAGTGCTTTATTGACTGATATGATTGTCAGTTCTCAATTGCCATACTTCTTAACCTCAAATAAATACCAGAAACTGGGAGTGGAGCTACCCAGAGTTCTATGCAGCTTTGGTTTCTGTTACTTAACCATCATTTTTCATTCGTTTTCTTAATCATTTTTTGCGTGTGTAATAGTGTGTTACTGTCATGCTAAATGTAGGTTTGGTCGCATATGTTCAAATATGCGATCCATCGGTCAGGCCCTAGGAAAAAGTGATCCCACAGGATAACACAGATAACAACAAACACAAATTTACCAGTCAACTTTCAAAAAAAAAAATAAAAAAATAAAAAAATGGTGGCCCCAAAATAAAAGGTCATTATAGGTAAATCCCTATATGTCAACCTTCTCAACCTACACACATCAATAACTAAATAAAACATAAAATAATCCATTAAAGAAATGTTATTATCAAAATCAGCTCCAAGTTATCACTGCTGGAAAGTCTTTGTAAAGCTTCTTAAATGATTAGGGCCTAAAAGAAGCAATAAGTAGAATTTTCCATGCACAATTAATTAATTGTGAATGTATTACATAATAATAATAGGCACCGTAATTATAGTGCATGACGTATTGTATTATGATAAATTTACACAAGACCTCGGTGCAACTGACCAGCAAAGCACAAAGAATGCCACTTATTATTCTTTTAAGATCTAATTACTATTCGCCCTGAAATGACCTTTTTGTTTACTACACTACCAACTCATTTGCAGTGAAAGCTTCAGTAACCTCTCAAACTTTGATGAACTCTTCTATGGACTACATTTTAGTGCAGTGAAAGGACCCTTAACTGACCTCTGTTCTCTTTGCTTTGTAACAGTGTTTGTCATAATATCCTAACTGCGTTTTATATGTAATGTGTAGTATGACCAAGGTTCTGGCACATATATGATACCAGGATATTTTTTGCGCAGGACGTTGTCGTTCCACAGATAAATGACCCAGACAACCACCAAACCCAGAGTTATGATAAAGTTATAGAGGAGAAAGCGGCCATTGCTGTCCAACACGTAGCCCATTCGCTTCTGCCGCATCACTGTGGCAGCCATGGCAAAGAACGTGAAGACATAAAGAACAAAAATCTGGCCCTCGGTCACCAGGTACCTGCAACAAATCAAATCATTTTAATGCTTTAAGGACACGAAGAATGTACTGGTGTTTTTATAAATTAGGGATGCACTGAAATCTTGGCCAACAAAACATCTCAGCGAAAAATTAACAAAAACTAATTTTTTTTTTTTGCTTTTCGGCCAAAAGAGTAAACTGAGTATAACTCAGAAAGTTATACTGGTTTCATTTTTTTAAAGATTAAACAGGTGTAAAACAAACTGTGAAAAATGACAACTTATTTTTTTTTAAATAAAAGTGTTTAAAACATGATAGGTGTTCTGTAATTTGCAAAAAATATTTATTCACGCTGGTAGTTAATCAAAAATATTACTTCATATAGTACGATTTTGTTTTTGTTTTTTCTAGGCCCAGTATTTTCTATGCATCATTACTTTTAATATTCACTAGAAATAGCACAACACCACTTTTGTTTTCCACTACCGACACGGAAATCTTGAGCACTGGCCGATATGACAATGCAAATATTATTATTATTTTCTTTTAGACAGCTGAGCCTTAAAGTTTTTTTAACTGTAGTACTCAAACTGCTATTTCAGGACAGATTTGTTATAGGATTGGATCAGATTCACTCTTTTGTCCTTCCAATATCCAATCTAGCTTTTTCTGCTGATAATGATCTATTTCTAATATCGCACTGATCTTTACAACAGATTTCTAAAACTGATAAAAGCAAAACATGAGAACATTAATTTCCTCTACATGCATGTTAGCGACACATTCTCATATGTCACATTAACAAATGTAATAGTATCTCATGGAAACAAAATGTCCAGAGTACATTAATTTACTGACCAATAATAAATCGCACTGGGGCCCAGTAGCAGCCAACCTGACCGTGGCAACTTCTCCTCTTTGGCTTGTGTGAAGCAGCCAGTGAAGTAAAGGAAGAGGATGAGAAAGAATGGAATATACCTGCAACAGAGGAAGAATGCAGTTTGTAGATGTGCCACTGTGATTTCTTGTGATTTCACTGTGATTTGTATTATGTGCACTAGCAACTCTTAACTGCGGTGCTTCCATTACAGACTGTACAGTCAATGCCTTTTGCAGATAAAACAAAAACTCTACTAATGGACATATAAAACCATACTACGTTGTTGTAGGCTTAGCGAGAGGATGCAGAGAGAGATATAGCTCTACTTACCACATGGAATGACCTAGGTGCTCATCATAGTAATACAGGAGCTCAAAGGAGTCAATCTGAAAGTGAGAACAAAGATTCATCAGGACGTGTCCACTTAATACTTTGCCGTGCAGCATCCTATTAATTTCAATGGAGAGAAAAGTTTTCTACTTTATGGCAATGAGTTCAGCCTCTGCACTGCATTTAGCCAATCAGACAAGGGTAGATATCATTTCTTATAACTGTCGACAGTAAAGATTTGGAGGGAAGAGGTTTGATTTATATGGTTCTAGCAGGAACCAAAACTGAAATCAATGGAGCTCTAAGGTTACTTCCTAAAGTACTTCCTAACTTGCTAGTGACATCTTTTTAGCCTGTGTAAACAACTAATGCAATCTGAAAATTATAAGATTATTATAGAAGAAAATTATCTGTGCTGTAATCTTACTGTAAACTTTTGTGTAACAAAAAAGACAAATAAGAAATAGCACACAGCACATCACATGTCCTAGTTATGTTCAATACAGTTCATTAATTTGCATAACAGAAACAACAAAACGTCCACCAGCTGTTAGCACCCACAAGGCAGAATGCGGTGAGTGGAAATGGCAACAGAAAACCATGACAAAGATTACAAAATTTAATCTAGCTAATTTTAAGTATATAAGAAGCAGTCTAACAGCAGAAACTTTAAAATTATATTTTAATACAATGATTCTCCCTCACTTGACTTATTGTCTGATTAGTTGGGCATAAGCCAGTACAACATTGAAATCTATTTCAGTAGTTCATAAACATGCTTTGAAAGTGCTAGACCTAAGACCTATCACCACTATAGATTCTTGCCAAATATAGCCTCATGAACAGTGAAAATATCATACATTTTGCAAATTACTTGTTTTTAAGGTTTTTTATGCCCACCCCTAACTGGTAACTGGGTTACTAGATCTGTTTCAGGAGGAGACAGCAGAAAATCTGATTTAGTCAGTCAGGTTTTTCAGTAAGAGCAGCACATGTAAGGAATACTTTGCCAATATACATTTGCAACAATAAAACTTACAGTATATTCATACACACCTGAAAGGAATGGCTTACTGGCAATCAGGAGTGTGCACATTCATTTTAAGTTTTTATGTTTTCAGGTGTTGGTACATTCAATCTGTATACTTGTTTGAAATTAAACTGTCACTATCTATCCTATGCTTCATTAATTTTATTTTCCTTTTCCCTTGCGTATAAATTGTCTATTACATCTAGGCTAATAATATCAGGCCTCAGTTGAAAATTAGCCAGTTGGCTAACAATGGAAACTTCAACTAATCAAGTTTGTGTTGATTAATGTGAATTATTATTTATCTAATTAAAAAAAACAATAAACCAATTTAGGAAAATGGAGGTAAAAGACACTTTGACACTCGTATGTAGTTAGCCCTTTTTAAAAAAAAGGGACTATTTCTGCCATTAAATCAATGCTCTTCCTTTAATACTGTGATATTTCAATGCTGCCGTGCTCTAAAGTTTATCGATTTTTATTTTGCTTGTGGAACCAAGCAAACCATTTTAACTGCTAAACACATGAAACACAAGCCATGTCGCAAAGTCAGGGATGCAGCCATGGCAGACTGCATTTCCTGGCTGTTACATCATCTAAGACTGCTGCATTTTGTATGATCCTTCAAATTTGGCCGAGAACAGCACAGTTTGTTTCTGTGAATTCAATGGACGCAACCTGGCGTTTCTTCCAGACAGTCACACCCACAATCCTTCATGTGCAGAACACATTTGAAAAAAGACAGAAACGACTGTGAGTGGCAACATGCTGCTGCAAAGTTTCTAATGAAATGTAGTTTTTAATGTAATATTTTTAAATGTAAGATTAAAATGTGTAACACTGTTTACATCAGGAAGCTGAGACATGTCTGTCCAGCCTACTAGGGCTGTCTCAAATGTATGTGACTGAGTACTAAAGAGGGGCCTTTGTATACCAGCACTAGCAAGGTCTCTCGTACCTTGGCCACAGCCTTAACTTTGACACATGACTTTAAATCAAAACTAAGCCCTTAGTGATCCAGGTCCTATTTTGAATTGCATTACTATTGCCGTGCATCTAATAAGGGCAGCATGGTGCTTGTTTTATACAGTGATAGAAAACAACGCAGCACACAGAAAGCTGTCACATGCTGACATATTTTACTATGCTGAATGTGGACATGGACGCATCCAGCTACTCTAAAAGCAGATTTCAATTAATTTCTCAAGTTTCTCAATGTCGTTGACAATATAGAATGTAAGATTTTTTATTAATGCAGTTAATAATAAGGCAAAGAGGAAACAATGGTAAGTGCCAAAATTTAGCTAAACCAGCTGTTTAGAACTTCAGTGATAGTTATTTCTTTCCATCCTTTAATTGATGAATTACCAGTGATGCAGGCTTCAGGTCCTTTATGATGGGATTCTCTCGGACGGAGAGGTGGTTCTGGTAACCACTGAGGATGAGCCGGTGGTTGATGGAGTCTCCCACCAGGTGGATGCTAGCTCCCATGACGAAGGTGATGATGCTGAGGTATACCGCTGACCGTGGCAGCGTGGTGGGGCTTCGCTCCATCAGCTGCAACAGTGTGCAGTCACAGGTCAATTCAAGAACACAGCTGTTTAAACTAATTAAACCACAAAGGAGGACCGTGTTGGTATAGGGCTGATATAACAGTAATGTATAAAACATTAATAAAGCTTAATTACTAGTATATTGTATGTTTGGAGTATTTTATTCAGCCTGGTTGAACTGTCTTCCAGCACGCAGACTGCTGGTCACATAGCAACACAAACAACAGTCTTGCCTAGCTAGTGGCTAACGACAAGGCAAAGAGAAAGACTGAAGATGAACATTGATATTTTGGAGACGAATGGAATTCTTTGGATTTATAAGCACTCCAGCTGGTTTCCTGATACGTTTAATCTGCATCAAGAAACTGTCAAACACTAGAATGTCGCAAAGATGAAGTCAGCTTCCCATGAATATTTTTCCGTTCCACCTAAAATGGTGCCGCAGTAAAATTTTGGCACCTCAGGAGCCATTTAAAGTGGAACAGGAAAATTCGAGCAAGAAGCTGACCAATGACAAACTCACTACAGCCTCGTAAAAAATTGAAAATTGAGAAACATTTTACAAGAAGCTATTCTACTTTTGAGGAAAAGTTTCCTGCTGGGGATGCGAGAAAAGCAGCTAAAGCTGAGCTTAAGCTAAAGCTTAAAGCAGAGCAAAGAAGTAAAAATATAATATGCATTTTCATTCATATTACATTTTTTAGCCTATACTAGTGCACTGGCACATGCTGAGACATATTTACAGCCAATATGGTAATAAAAAGGGGCTCCCAAGGTGGTTTGATTTTTTTTGAAAGGACAAAATGGCTCTTCTTAAAATTTGGGTTGCAGACCCCTGCCCTAAACTAACCAAACTAAACTGCCTTGTTTATTGTGGGTGCGTTATTAGTAAGTTCGGCGTGCACCTTGAGCAGCAGAAACGGCGTAATGACATTGTAGGCCATGTGGAAGTAATCTCCAGCACTGGGTTTGTTCAGAGGGAACCATTCCAGAGGAAGTATAATCTATAAGAAAAAGAGTAATAGGAATTTAGTTCAGGCTTTCTCCCCATTGTGTAGTTATTTGTTTCATATTCTCAGTAAGTATTAATATAAGTATTTTTTCTGACTGCCATATATATGTACCATAAAACTGTAATCTTAAGAAGTCCTTCTATTAAGACATATATTTTTGAATTCTGCATGCAAACTGAACACATCCAAAGAAGAAGTGAGAGCTAATAGACAATATAATAGGTCCCTGAGTACAAATAAACAGCAGTAGAATGCAGTAACGTTCAAAAATCCATTGCGGTATTTTAAGTCACCATTACAATAGGCCTCCCAAAGTCCAGTATCCAGTTCTGCACAGTAAAATAGAACCAAAGGTCAACATGGAACTGGGACTGAGGGGTGGAAGCAGATGCTTTCTCTCTCCCAATGGAGCTGTCGAAAGAGAAGAAGAGGAAAACACAAAATGACTAACAGCAATGTACCAGTGCACCAGCTGAACCACAGGCCAGTGTGAGGTGTTCCATATATGATATACTTAGACAGAGAAGCATTTGCAGCTGTATCAATTTAGCTACCTACAGACTGATGACAAATTAAAGGAAAATAAAGAGTCTCATTAAGGTGTTGGTCCACCACCTTGGCACAGATTCTATAGGTCTCTGGAACTGTACTGGAGTCCATTCTTCTAAAAGATATTCCCTTGATTTTTGTGTTTTGAGGATGGTGGCAGAAAGTGCTGTTTAGCAGGTCCAAAATCTCCCATAGGTCCAAAATCTCCCATAGGTGTTCAAGTAAGTTAAGATCTTTTGACTGTAAAGACCATGGCATATGATCTACATTATCTTCATACTCATGTAAACATTCAGTGACCCCTCATGCCCTGTGAATGGAGGCATTAACGTCTTGAAAGAGACCTTTCCCATCAGGATAGAATTTTTTTATTATATGATAAAGGTCAGTTAGAATAACTTCGTATCAATTTCTTCTCTCTAAGTGCGTCTAAGCTACACTAGCAAAAAGCCCCTCACAGCGTAGTCCAGCCACTGGACGCACCAATATGTCAAAGATATGATGAAGGATGACTCATCTGACACTTTTTTACACCCCTCTCTTAATTAAATGTGTATAAGTCTTTGAAATGAGGGGTTTATAATTTGCCTCTCTATGTGTAGTTGTTGATGGACTGTTCATTGCTGACACAGTCTGATCACGGCCTCCACTGACATTTTTACTTGAGAAACAGTTGCTCGTTTTTCCTTTCATATCACACTAATGCACGACCGTCACAGTCAATGAATGTGTGCTTTTCACAGCTCCTAAAATCCTTCCTCCTGATGTCTTTCCCATAGATCTAAATGGAGATGTGACCTTAGACACCACAGTCTTTGTGACTGAAGCTCCTGCAATTTGTGCCTCGATAATGAAACCTCTTTCAAGTTCACTTTAGTCTTTTCCTCTTGCCATCTTGATCCATTTTTCATGCGCACTTGTAAACATATCACAGATGATGGAAACGTTTAATTGTATCATGCAGTACACATGCCTGGAAACATTTGAACTGAACTCGTCATGTTTCTGTACTACTTTATTCATATTTATGTTTTCTTTCATTTGTCACCCGTCTGCATGCATATTTGCAACGTTATATCCATGAAAACAGCTCCTCTGCACTGCCGGACTCAAATTCTTCAGTAACGTGTTTCCACGGACTGAAATCTCAATATTTTAGCATTAATGAAACTTGAAAACATAAAAGAGTCTTAAAGGGTTCGCTACACAGTAGTAAGCTAAACTTGTGTCTACAGTGAGCAACCTCTCAAAAAAGAGGTCAGAGGAGTAAGAAGAGCTTGTTGAGACACTTATTCAGAAACTTTGGTGTAAACAAGAGCTCCCTGTGAACCAAACCGCTCACTTCACTTCCCCTTACGAAGCTGAAGTCAGCCTCTTGGTTGAATTTTTCCCGTTCCACCTTAAATGGTGCAGCAGTTACATTTTGGCGCCTGAGATTGGGGCACCAGAATGTAGCTAACGCTAACTGCGGCACCATTTAAGGTGGAACGGGAAAATTCGATCAAGAAGCTGGGAATTCGTCTTCTCCTTTCTGCTAAACTGAACAACGACAGGACGAACCTTAAATATGACATCGCTGTCGTCTCCACTTTCTGCCGTTTACGCATCTTTTGTGGTGGTTAATGTTGTCGTTAATGGCAGACAGTACTTTATCGTTTCGCTGCTCGGACTCACTCATCCGCTTCAGCTGGGAGTTCAAATTCAACGTCGCTCCAAAACAACGACCTTCCTTACTTCCGCCCGGCGATCCCGCCTCACAACGTCATCTCCGCTGATCGCAGTTCCGCCGGAGCCTGGTTGAAGCCGAGGGGCTTCCCTGAGTCCTATTTGGTTCAGCCAATGTCCTCTCTGGAAATACAGCGATTTTTCAAACTTCTGCATAATTAATTATGTTAAATATGCTGTATACGACTAAGCATGAAACATTCAGAGAGGTATGGTGTGAAATGCTCCATTGTAGAGAAACTTACAGAGTCAGAATTGTTCACAGTGGAAGTGACTGGAACCAGGCGTCCAAAGCGTTTAAAGTGTTGATATAATGAAAAAATGTACTTCGTTGAAACTGATTTTTTTTTTATTTGGTGTACTCTGAAAACATTGCTAAAGTTTTAAAATGTACCAAACTAAGCCTGTACAAACAGCCCTTTTAATGATTTGTTTTTGTGATGTCACATTCATACATTTAGTCTAGAGCAGTTTAACTGTGCTCATTCTCTCTGATGTTAAAAGAAATGTTTCACCCCAGACAGCTTTTGGAATGAGGCACAATCCAGTACAGCCAGTTAGAACAGATGTCATTTGCATTTATTAGTTTTAAAGACACAGTATCAAAAACAGCCTGTGTTTTTAAGAGATAAAGAGATTTTGGAAATGGTCATGTAAAAAATAAATTATGACAGTTTTTGGTACATAAACCCACACAAATTTTAGAAGTGAACTAAAATGAATAAAAAATATGTAGGATACAGGGCCTTTAATTCCTCTAAAAGGTAGAGTTATTACATGGAGTGTTTATGAATATCTTCCTTTATGCTGGAGACATTGTTTTACAATAGCTGCAATAACCTTTTAGCCTAAAACATTTTTTTAAGGCACAATAGTTTTTTACGAACGCCTATTTAACTATTTCCAAACCTACATATAAAGACTCAGAAAACACGTGTAGGATCACTGGTTGTTTTGAATAGTAAATAAATTTGCTATATTTCATTGTGACCCCTGGTTCCTATCACCACCACTGTTTCTCCAGAAGTTTCTCTACAATGCACCATTTTACATCAAACACTTTGAATGACAGATTCAGAGAGAAAATCGGTGGAATTCCAATTTAAAATAATCACCTTCAAAATCTTTAAAAAAATATAAGCCTTAAAAGCCCAAAAAGGCCGAAGGCCCTAAAATCATTCTTTTATTGAATTCTTAAATTTAATTAACCACTTCACAGTATGTTCTTTTGCCCATTTAAAATACTCAAGAATTAAGAAAAAAGAATGAAAGAAAAAAAACTAAAAGCATTTGTATTCATTAAGACTCTTTATTATATAAAAGTCTTCTTGCCCGTATCTGAACCTGCTCGGCCACCGTAGTGCATGTAAACATGGCGTCCGACGGAGAGAGTGATGAGGACTTCGTGACTGTTGGAACCCCTCTGGAGCCGCTGGAGGAAGGTGGAGTGATATTTTATACATTTCAGGAAACAGAATGAGAGAAGCGATTTTGACTTGCGCAGCTGTAGCGAAATCCTTTCAGCCACGAAGCTGGAGTCAGTTCCTTATTCGCCAGGCCAGCTTCAGGTTCAATTTTCCCCGTTCCACCTTAAACGGTGCCGCAGTTGCATTCCAGCGCCTCAGTCAGTCGCCAGAATGTTACTGCTGCGCCATTTAAGGTGGAACGGGAAAAAATGAACATGAACCTGGCGAATAGGAAGCCAACTTTACTGTTTATCTGGTGATTAGCAGAAAAGCTGTGCTTATATAACATTTTGTTTGTTCTATTCACTCTGTCACTTTGTTCAGATGAGCCCATTAGAAAGCCGATTCCCGTGCAGGACCAGACGGTCAAAGATGAGAAAGGCCGGTACAAGAGGTTTCACGGAGCCTTCACTGGTGGCTTCTCTGCTGGCTACTTCAACACTGTGGGGTCCAAGGAAGGTTAGCAGGAGCCACTCTTGAGAATAAGAGCACGTTTCGTTTGTATTGCTGTGTTTGGTAAAAATTTGAGATCTTCCTTGTTTGACCTTATTTCTCAAACTGTACTGGCCTTCTGCAGGCTGGACACCGTCCACTTTCGTGTCATCACGACAGCAGAAGGCAGAGAGGCACAATGTCAGACCAGAAGACTTCATGGATGAGGAGGTACGTCCTAGGACTTAGTGAGCCTAAAGGGGCACGCTGGCCAAACTGGAACAGTTAAAGGGGAACTCTGCTGATTTTTTAAAAAATAAAAAACCTCCCTTTTGATTATGTGTCTTGAAGGTGGGAAGAACTTTTGAACTTTGGGCCCATATCCTACATATTTCTTAATTTATTTTCCTAAAGGTCCAGTTTTGTGTCAGTTTATGAACAAAAAACAGTTGTAATTTAGTTTACGGTACAATTTTCCAACCTCTCTTCATCCCTTAATCAGGCTGTTTTTGCTCCCGTGCCATCAAGACTAATATATCATCGCTGTTCCAAAAAAAATATTATCAACTTTACAGAAGAAGGCAAAAACATTCTTTACTTTTCATCTAAATTAATGTCAAGAGATTTTATTCCAAGTGATTTTTGACCATTTCTGTTGGTTCATTCATCATGAAATCTTTTTGTCTTGGTTGTCAGGCTTATACTCATATAGCCAACTTTAGATTAGATTTTGGTTAACAATTAGCTCTGGATTGTCTCTTTTTTTCACTCTTTTTCACTAGGATTTCAGTGAGCATGGGATTGCACCGCGAGAGATCACCACCACTGATGACTTTGCTTCTGGAAGGCCAGATCAAATCCGGGATAAAGCCAAAGCTATTAGTTCCCTCACTGCCCCTATTCCAGGAGACACTCTACTGGAAGAACTGATCGCACCTGCAAGGTATTTAGCTACCACAGAAGTTAATTCTAGCACAGTAGCTAATAAAGGACGTCAGGAGCATCCTTAGTGTCAAGTGTGAGTGCATCAGGTCTAATTATGTAACGCTAAAACTTAACAGATACTTTTGATAGCCTCAATGGATTGGAACAAATGTTGAATTGTCCATGATGCACTGGAGGATTGTTCTTTCTGACGTGTGATTGACATGCTATAAGAAATTGTCTGAATGAACAGTCAGTATTGCGTTGGAGCTGTGCGCTGTGTGTATTGCAGGTCGTCTATAGGGGTCCAGCTACTTAGGAGAATGGGTTGGAGGGATGGGCAAGGGATTGGACCCAGGGTGAAGAGAAGACAACGCAAACAAGACACAGGTCAGTCTAATACATTCTGTTTCAAAGCTTGTATTACTGTCAAATCAAATCAAATCACGTTTATTGTCACATCACATTTACACAGGTGGAAAGTGAGTGAAAATCTTAGGTGCGTAGACCTTTATAGAATTACTAATAATAAATACAAAAAAATATAAATATCTAAAAAGAAAAAGAAATCAGAGTCAGTCTGATGAGATGTGCAAGGTGTAGATTGTCCATGGAGATGATGATTCAGAGATGCAGTGACAGGCCTATAGACCGATACACTAGCACTACTGACTGTTCAGCAGCCTGATGGCCTGTGGGAAGAAACTGTCATAACATAGGCCTTATGTTTACATGCATGTCATAAGTTATTTTATATTTGCCTTGTTATCACAGATGCCAGAGTTTATGGATGTGCTTTCCCACCCAGTGGATCTGAGGAGTCAGAGGTGAGTATGATCTTCTGAATAAAAGTTATTTTAGACAATGCAATTGATAAACAGATGATCATTTGATTGATTGTTAACAAAATCATGACGTTATGGTGATTTGATGTGTTTTTTCCTTTAAAAAAACTGAAATTTTACTTAAAAACAAATCACAGTGTTGATATTAAGGAGAATTCCATTTATTTATTTATTTATTTATTTTCAAATTTTCTCTGTAATTAATGATTAAAATGTAAACGGTCATTTAAAGTGGTTTGATGTGAAGTAGTCCTAGAGAAGTCCTGAAGAAGTCATTAGTCAGAATTGTTCACAGCAGTTGTGATAGGAACCAGACGTCCAAAGAGTTTAATGCCTCTTAAAAGCTCCCTTTACAGAAAGTTATTACATGAAATGGTTTTGAATATGATGGCTAATGCCTGAGACATTGTTTTTGCAATAGTTTTGAGATCAGGTTTTGGCCTGGTGGAGGGGTACATGTAGTGGGTTCTAAGGCAAAATAGGCCATGTAGACACAAGTAGGTTTACTCTTCATTTTGGATGGCAAATAAAATGCCTGTATTTGCATTGTTGACATTGCAACCCCTGGTTCCTATGACCTCTGCTGTAAAGAAATCCAAATTGGTTTCTCTACAGTTAAGCATTTCACATCAAACCACTCTGAAAGACTTTGTTTACATCTCAACAATTGAATTATGCGGACATTTTTAAAAACTGGTGGAATTCCCCTTTAATCGGTCAAACGATTAGCATCCTTATATCAACTTCATTGTCTAAAAAGTCAAACAAGTAACACTAATTAATATAAAAAAAAACTTTTCCTGGAAAATGGCTGATTTTTGAGACAGATTATGTTATGTTTATCTAAGTTTCTATTAAACTGTGCTGTAGAAGTGAATTCCATTGTTGTATTCATAACAAAGCCATATTACATGAAATAACTTTCAGCTTTCCCTATCTAGAATGATGACGAATTTGCTCCAGAGAATGTGACCTTCGCACCCAAGGATGTGATCCCAGTGGATTTCACCCCTAAAGATGACCTCCATGGCCTGGGGTACAGAGGGCTGAACCCTCTTCAAGCCCTGAGTGGTGGTTCAGGGATGGGGCATATTAACCTGTTTACCCTGGACTCAGATAGGATGAGCAGTCTGGTTAGAGGCAGGAAGGCGGGGAACCAACGTAAGAGTGGAATCACAGGACAGGTGCGGTCTGTTTAACATTTGAAGGAGATGTTTATTTAACTTGGATGTTATTGGTTGTGTCATTATATTGTGGTGTGTCTACATTATGATGATAGATGCACCAAGGCAAACTGGTTATTCCATTGCTTTTAACGTAGTGGGGCCATAAAATGTAGCCACTTCTA